TTTTAAAAAAAAAAAAAAAAAAAAAAAAAAAAAAAAAAAAAAAAAAAAAAAAAAAAAAAGAAAATAGATAAATTAAAAAGCATGGCACTGTTCCTACAGAAAATAGATAAATTAAAAAGCATGGCACTGTTCCTACAGAAAATAGATACATTAAAAAGCATGGCACTGCTCCCACATTTTTATGGACATGGATATTTGAAATTTTTATAATTTTAACATGTCCTGAAATATTATTCGGCCCTCCTACCCCCAACTATTTAAGAAAACATAAAACCCATCCTAGTTTGCAGGCTACACAAAAAAAAGACAGGGGGCCAAATATGGTTTCAGGGCTATAATTTGTCAGTCCCTGATACAGGTCATTATTTAGATCCCATGTTCATTACATGTTCAAAGATGGTCTGTTACAAAACAGTATGTCTAGTGAAAAATACACATTTTGAATGTGCACATTTATAAAAGAACATGTAAACAATTTTAACTACAATGCTCACAGTAGTTGCATCTAGGTGGTGGCATTACAGGTATTACTATATTTTCTGTGTTTATGAAAATATTAGAGCTCAGGCTACCGGGAATAAGAGAAGGAATGAATGTAGTAATATATGATGTGATAATTAAATTCAGGCTAATGGGGCTTTTTTCTGAGATAAAATTCACATAACATAAAATTAACCATTTTAAAGTATATACTCTAATGGCATTTAGTACATTCACAATGTTATGCAAACATCACCTCTACCTAGTTCCAAATCATTCCATCACTCCAAATGGAAATTTCACATACATTAAGCAGTTTCTCCCTATCCTCCCTTTTTCAACAGCCCCTGGCAATTGCCAATTCGTATTCTGTCTCTATGAGATTACCTGTTCTGGATTTTTCATATAAAGGAATCGCAATGTGTGTAATGCTTTTGAGCACTATTTAGTTCCTTTTTATGGTGGACTAATACATCTATAAAATGGATGTATTGATCTGTTTCTGTTGCTTATAACAAAATACTTGAAACTGGGTGATTTATAAAGAAAACACAATTTATTGCTTACAGTTTCTAAGGCTGGGAAGTCCAAAGTCCATCTGGTGTGGTGACAGTGACTCAAGGGTCTCATTGCAAGATGGTGGAAGCAGAGAGAGCAGAGAGCAGAGAGACAGACTCCCCTTTTAAAGCCGTCAGAACCACGCCTCTGACCACCATTTTTAATCCATTCACTACTGCAAGGTCCTACAATCCAATCACCTCTTCAAGGCTCCACCTTTCAATTACTATAATAGGATTTGCCACCTTCTTAACAGTCACAGTGGGGGCCAAGTTTCTAATACATAAAACTTGGGGGACACAATTCAAGCTTCAATGAGTTTTGGGGGGACAATTCAATGGAACATTTTGTTTATTCATTCACCAGATGATAGACATTTGGGTTGTTTCCACCTTTTGGCTTTTGTAAATAGTGCTGCTATAAACATTAGTGTACAAGTTTTTGTTTAAATGCCTATTTTGAATTCCTTTGGGCACAATACCTAGGAGTGAAATTGCTGGGTCATACAGCAATTGTATGTTTAACTATTTGATAAACCACAAAACTGTTTTCCGCAGCTCTGCCATTTTACATTCCCACCAGCCACATACTAGGGTTCAATTTTCCACAGATTTGACAATATCTGTTTTCTTTCTTTTTAAAAATTATTATACTCATCCTAGTGAGTGTGAAATGGTATTTCATAGTGGTTTTGATATGAATTTTCCTAATGGCTAATGATGTTAAAGATTTCTCATGTGCTTCTTGGACGTTTATATATTATCTTTGGAGAAATGTGTGTTCAAGTCCTTTGCCCATTTCTTAATTGAATTGTCTGTCTTTTTTTTTTTTTTCCTTTTTGTCTTTTTTCGTGTCCGGCAATGCACCGCAACCCTCAGTGTCGCGCCCGTACCGGACTGGGACCGGCAACGGGATCGCAACCCTCGGTGCTGCGCCCGCCCCTCGCTCAGCCAGTGAGCGGGAACCGGTCTGTATGTGGGATCCGAACCCTCGGCGGGAGCGCCGCCGCGCTCTCAAGCGGCGCACTGTAGCAGTGCGCC